AGAAGGGGTAGAGGTGGATCCAGAAAAGGTAGCTGCAGTGCTCCAGTGGGACCAGCCCAACACTGTAAAAGGAATACAATCCTTCTTAGGATTTTGCAACTTTTACCAACGGTTTATTTATGGATATAGTTGCATTGTGAAGCCACTGAATCAACTAACAAAGAAGGAGATCCCATTCTGCTGGACCCCAGAGTGTGAGGAGTCCTTCCAGCAGCTAAAGCAGAACCTTGCAACTGCTCCAGTACTGACACACTAGTCATGTTAGAATTTTGTCAGATAATCTACCAATATACTCATATTGTTCGGGACCGTCACAATCCGGACTATGAGCCAGTAGAGGGAGAAAACTTAGATGCAAGCACACTGCTCCCCACACTGCAGAGGAAACTGCGCCATAGCTCCCCTACCATGCCAAAGGCGCTGGTAGGCACACAAGAGGCACCAACAACTGCCATGCTCACGCACACTTGGGAACCAGAAACCTTCCCACATGCATGCACACACACCTGTGGCCAAACAGAGCCACATACAGATGAGAGTCACATTGCTGGTGATACAGGAAATCCGGAAATCCTGGTGCCACAGTTCATGGTACAGGCAGCCATGAATACCGAGACAGCATACAATACTGTCCCTTCAGCATCAATGACAGACCTGATCCACACAGTCCAGGCCAAAGATCCAGACACTGTAGGTATGTTTGCATTGTTGAAGGAGGGCCGCAGTGCACAGCCTGACTCACCCTGGAGCATCTCCTCAGATGGGTTGCTCAGGTATGACAAACGCGCCTACATTCCAAAGTCCTCCGCAATCATCCAAGAAATTCTAAAGACAAATCATGATGATCCACAAGGCGGACATCTCTGAGAAAGGCGCACCTGGCAAAGCATCCGATCCCGCTACTATTGGCATGGTATGGGGCATGATGTCAGGGAATACATACAACACTGCCAAAAGTGCCAGAATATCTCAACGCACCGCCATAAGCCCTATGGTATGCTTGAACCATTACCGGTCCCCAGGGCACTGATGGACTGGATTAGCATGGATTTCATCACCAGTCTCCCGCCATCCAATTGGCGTGGACACACCTACAACGCAGTGCTCGTTGTAGTAGATTTGTTTACCAAATACTCATGGTACTTCCCCTGCACAAAAGATATCAATGCGGAAGAACTGGCCACAATATTCTATGATGACTTCGCCCGCTATATGGGCATGCCACACCACATTGTCAGTGATCATGGTTTACTCTTTACCAGTGAATTCTGGTCTATCCTCTGCCACAACCTTGCAGTCAAACAAAAACTCTCCACTGCGTATCATCCGCAGACTGACAGCCAAACAGAGCACCAAAACCAGACCCTTGAATACTACCTGCAGGCATACACCAACTGGCACCAAGATGACTGGGCCGCATGGCTAGCACTAGCCCAACTCATTTACAACTCCAGCTACCACAGTGCCATTAAAATGGCCCCTGCTGAGGCACTTTCAGGCTATTGCCCTGATATCCATTCAAATGTAGACAACCTCCTGGTCTCAACCAACACTGATGCAGTGGAACACACAAAAGACCTTCATGCAATGCACGATATTCTCAAAGTCAGATTTCAGACAGCAAAGAACGCCATGAAGACCCAATATAACCAGAACCACATCACCCTCACCTTTAAGGTGGGTGATTGGGTCATGCTCTGCACCAAGAACATCGACACTGGCCGCCCTGCAAAGAAAATCGATGATAAGCAAATTGGACCATTCCAAATTACCCATGCTACTGGCAAGCAAGCATATACGCTCCAACTTCCTCCTGCATGGCGCCAAATCCATCCTACCTACCATATATCCCTGCTCGAACCCTGGCATGGCACAAATGAGCCCCATGACCGGCCAGGCCCTGTCAACGACTCTGAAGACTACAAAGTCAAAGATATCCCCACCGATAAGAAGGTGCGAAATCAACAGAAATACCTTGTGAAATGGGCCGGATGGCCTAAAGAGGACGCCACATGGGAACCAGAAGAACACTTGGTCGACTCTGAGGCCCTTGACCACTACTTCGCCAAGCGCCCAAAGCAGGCTACGCCTACAAGGCATACACAGCGCACTGCGCGAAAGCTAGCAAGGAGAAAGTAAAACAATTTTGACATTGCAGCTAGAAACACCAAAGACACCCTTCTGCCCCTCCGCCTCGAATCAGGCAGCCTACAAACCAAATGCATCACGGAATCGACCAAGGATACTGCGGGTGGATGACAAAGGCTCAGGCTCAGTCACTGGATCAGGCGTAGTTAGCCGCGGTGCGGGAACATGAAACGGATAAACCAATGTAGCGGTTAAAACTCCGTATCGGGGAAGTCGGGGGAGTCGATTATCCGGACTGCACGAGGCTATAGGCGACGAATCTTAATTACACTAGGAGGATGACATTGATCTCTATAGTCACAAGGGTGATGGAACGAGTGCTTAGCTATCTTAACCGAATGTGTGTGTGTCCGTATATGAGAGGTCTGTCGGCCTTGGTAATCGGACCAACTATTAATCCACCTTGACTTTCATCAGAACAACCACCTGCACGTGATCTTCGGGCACCTCATCAACAGGAACACCAGCACGACGCACCCGCGGCTGTTGCATATGACAACCCAACAACACCACCGCAGTCCTAACCTGTTCAAGAGCAATGGACGACTGATAGTGCCGAGCTTGGTGCGCACAGTAAAGAAGACGCTGAGCCTCCTCCTCACAACACTCAGGAACCTGCGCACATTAGCAAACAAACCACCACCCTGAAAAGTGGAAGGATAACCTACATCGACACAGGCCGCACCAGACCGACCCTGTGTGACACAGCGGCTGCACTTGTCAACGCGACCAGCAAACTTGCAGACATGCAAGGGGTCCTGTGCCAAGTGCTGCAAGCAGCGCTGGCGCCAGTCCACACCTGACATATCTGCCCAGAACACCTCTTCCTCGTCATCCAGTTTCCTCTTCTCAGCTTCCACCACTTGCTCCCGCATAGCGGCCTCATCAGCCTCAACCCTGCTGCCTTCCTCTGCCAGAACCCCAGTGGCACGCAGATGCTGCTGCAAGCTGCGACCACTCACCCCTTCTCTGGTGTTGACGGCATGAGCAACCTCTTCAGCAGCAGGGATAACAGGACTCCCAGCTCGTTTGAGTATTCTCAATGCACGACGGAGTACATGACGGTCATGGCAAGAGTAGGTGTGATGTAGAATGGGTGCAGAAACAGCGCTTTGACGAGCCATGATGTGGCGATATCTATAGCAGTGTGGATTGTCAGCCAGTCATACAGCAACCTGATGCAAAAACAAAGCCAACAGAGGAACCCAAAAGACAAAAGACATGCGAAGGCTCAGATGTGCATTGAGACTGTTGCTACGGACTCCGCCCGCAACCAAAACAAAAGACAGCTTGACACAATAAACACACCAAACCGACCCCAAACAATCCAAAGTTCAAACAACAAACAAAGGAGCACCTGCGCTTTCATATAAGCCCAAAAGAAAGTGTGAAACTCACGAAATCGCAAAGTTGTGTTGGTTGGTAGTGTTGGTGCGGTAGTCTGTCAAGAGGGAAGAAAAGCCCTATGTGATGATGCTACAAAACTACTCACAACAACAAATGCACTGCGCCAACCACAGCGCGCCAGAGGCAAAGCATCCCACACAGTTTATTCTACACTGAAACACAATTCTTTCACGCAGAAATAATATTTGCAACAACCCTATATTGCAGCGCACTGCGATACTTTTCCAAATTACAATGGCATCAGCCCGTGCTACACTCTCATGAGATACACTGAATCTATCTCTCCGTCAACCACGATATTTATGATTGCCACAGGGACGCGGCATCGAAGAAGAAAGGGAACCATGTTAGAACTTGTGTAGCACGGAGGCCGCAGCGCAGCCTCCGCAGTGCGGAACTGCTGTGCAGTGCGGATTTATGCATTATTTATCCATGTACATAAATACCAGGTCACATGACCAATGTCAGTCATGTGACCACCGCGAGAATACTTTGAAGCGTGAAACGGGGAAGCTTCGGGGCAGCGATGCCGATTCTCCGGATTACCGTACGAGGCCCATATGACAGCCGTGGGCCGTAGAGACAGTATCGCGCAGTAGGGAATGTACGTAGTATTGAGTCTGCTGTAGAGTGCTTGCTAGGACTCCCTCAGAGTGTTCCATCGCCGTACGATAAAACTTCTCCGGAGCTCACTAGATCGGTCCGACATTCATCCGATCTTCATCAAAGCGGATAGCTCGGAGGGATCGGGGAGTCGATATTCCGGACTGCACGAGGCCGAATGGAAGAGACTTTGATTTACCGATTGAGGGTGATATTGACTGTCTAATACCGTAGTAGATGAGTGCCTGAGTGCTTGATCTATCTAACATCCGACCATGGTAGCTATTAGAACGGATGCTCCGACGTCGCCTATCGGGCCGACTATTTATCCACCTGACTCTCATCATACTTCGCGGCGCTGGTGGTCGGACTTTAGCACACCAGCGATTAGTCTTGTCAATACTACGCATACAGTCCGCGGTGCGCTCATCACGCTGTCTCAATCCCTTCTTTCTTACACAAGCCCGAGCTGTCTCAACTCAAGGGTTATTGAATAAACGAGTATATTAAGCTAAAGAAAGAAAGGAAAAAGGCTTATGTACATCCGCTCGTACGAAGAAGTTCTGGTGCATGGGTCTCACCGCTCAGGGTGCACGGTGCACGAGGTTTCTGCCGAGTACTAACTAGAGGGTTCTCATATGAACCCATAACAGTTCTGGCGCAAAGGTCATCTTGGAGGGTTTGATTCTTCAGTAGAATTATAAGATCTACTGCCCCAGATACGTCAGATACGTCCGCTCTAGACGGGAGGTTCCTGTGTAACTGTAAAAATGCCAAAAATATCAGATTACTGAATGTAAAGTCGCAGCATGTGGGTAGATCATCAATCTTACATAACCATAGTCAAGTGAATACAAATCTCATAAAGGTTTAGCACCATTCATGTAATACGATGACAGGACTAGTAATTTGTAGAATGAATGGACGTTTTATTACCCTAGTCGGATGATCGACATCTGACATGCAGGACCCGCTTCGGGTGTCTGGAAGACTGGAGAGATTATCTATTTAGATCCAAAGTGAAGTTGTTCAAGCCTATATAAATAATGTTTGTCTAAGAAGTATACCAAAATAGTTATTGAAATCAATCGGACATAATGGCCAACATGTCGGAACCACTACTAGTCCCGATCCAGCTAGACGCCTTTGTGCTCAACCCAGCAGTCTGCGGCGACCCAAACAAACCCGAAAGTCGGATCTGTCCTATCACCCAACCCAACTACACCTTCCTTCGATACGAGGATTTTGTCGCCGAAAGTGACGTCCAGCCACACGCTGACCTCCACAATGCCGCCCCAGCCGACCACAACTCCCGCATGACGGACCTGGGCACTGGTCAGTATCGCCGTAATCGACATGGAGTTTATATCCACTGGAGTCTTCCACGGGCGTACCGGGCGGGTGTCTCCCTGACAGATTCGGTAGGGGATAAATCGCGTCGCGACCAGGAGCGCCAGCGTCATGGTCTGGGGAGGGAAACGGATGATGCGAGGCCGTCTGCTGCGGCGGAATATATCGATCCTCCGACGAGGTGGTTGGTGGTGAGAAAACTTGATCTGGATACGATTCAACCGGTCGAAGCAAAGGAGAACTTTGAGGAATACACCGCGTGGGTGATTGAAGGAGACTACTTGTGGAAGTTGGATGATATACCCGCGCACTACGATCTCCAGGTCGATGTATCTCCTTTTCTGGCCGGCGATCCTGACAAAGAGGTGGATGTTAGGGCGCAGGCCGAGGTGTTTATCGGTCGCAAAACCCCACTGAAGAAATGGTTGGATGATGCCCCTAAAAATCCGCCTCGGATCCCATTACTGGGCAGTGGAAACCAGCTCTTTGCGGACTTCCAACAGCACAATTCGAATGTGTTTAGTATGGTGGATAATTTTTCATATGGGGATGAGACAAGCCCACAATACCTGGACGTCGCTGAGGCCAGTTACTATGTGATTGGGTGGCACAGGAATGATGAAGCAGATCCTCTGTGGATGGAAAACGATCCTCCGCCCCGTGCTGAGAGACTCAACTCCCTTTTTATGTCACTTCAGGGGAACGAGAAGGCTTGGCTTGATGCTACAGGTCCAGCTCGTTTACTGTGTCATGGCGCTATGTATAGTGTTCAATGGGACTGGAACAAGAAACCAAAGACGCCTGCTGATGAATTTGCCCGTCGTCTTCAAGACCAGAACAACCCTGCTGTATCGGTCGGAACAACTGCGTTGGATTCATTGATGACATACTGCAAGGCAAGAAGAGGGGATGGAGGTGATTTTGATACAGCCACTAAGTTGGAGAAATTGATTCTTGCCGTTCAGGTTCTTCTCCATACCAATGATGATGGAGTCGAAGGCCAGCGTGAAGCGATAGATACCCTGTATAATTGGAATTTTACTCGTTCCCCTGGTGGAATTCGGTACTTCCTGGCCACGAGTGATGATGCACAGGCCAAACCGCTTCAGATAGACGACACGAGCCAAACGAACCTGAAGACCTTGAACCAACACCAGATATTGAAGGAATCCTGCCTTCGCGTGGTAGACCAGCTGCGATGGGATATGTTTGCTTTGTGGTGGAAATATATCACTGATCCAAGCAATACAAATGGCAGCAAGCAGCAGCAATTCAAGAGTGATATTTTGGAGATCCGCGATCGAATCGTGAATATTGGAGGGAAGATTAAATTGTTGGAACGGGAGATTAAGGGGCTCAAGAGCACGGAAAACGTACGATCAGGCACTCATCAACCCTACCATCAGGCTCGAGATCCAACCCTCTTACTTGGAGGTATTGACCAGGGATGGCCGTCAGACTACTTGTCTCCACTGAGTGTTCGTCTCAAAATGCAAACCATCTCTTCGACAGAGGATGAACCGATACCTGATGGACTTGAGAGTGTCTTTAACCAGATAAAAGCAAGGCTTGCCTCATCCATGTCACAGCACATGTTGGAAGCTGCGAGGAATCTGTTTCGGGAGTTCTATTTCCTGATTCCCCCGAGTGAGCGACAACCATCTCCTGGGAAATATTATCCACAATTTCACGACAAAGTGGATGAATGTTGGAGAGATCAATGGAACCAAAGGCAACCATGGCGGCCACTTTACATGGAATGGGAAGCAGAGTACATCCACATCCCCTTTGAACATTGGTCGTTGGGTGAACAGGCCGCTCGCCTATCAGAGAATAATCAAATCCGCTATGGAGTAAAGATAGACAGCGGCGCTCCTCTGTGGGAAGAGCTTACAAAGCCCTCGGAGGGCGGAAAGCCTTCGACTCTTGACAGGCGTTTGATCTCCGGCCGCGGGCTGATTCTTCCTCAGCCAAGTTTTTCTCTTGATGCGCGGGTCCGCCAGTTATTCTCAACCATTCCTGAACAGGAACTCGACGACCACATCACCGAAGAAGAGAGAAAGTACTTGCTTGAGCACATTCCTCGAATGCCATATCTATCTGGGCCACTCTCTGGGCTGACTGATGGCCTCTTAACTCTGGCACACGGTACGCATATTAAGCCTCTGGCCAGGACGATCGGCCCAGAGGGTGAACGGATGACTGCAATTAAGTCAGCTTGCGTCCTCCAGGCCGGATTCGATGACAAAGCGTTGGAAATGATCCAGGGGCATTCTGCTCTTACCCCGCTAGCTGCCACCGTAGCCTGGCCTGATCAGACCCATTGTCCTTTCAAACCAGTAACCCATGGACAGGTCAGGTGAGTGCAAATACCATTACCTAGACCAATAAGAATGTCGCTAACACTGCTAGATTCCGAAAACTCAACATTATCGACAAATTTGGCCAGACATTGGTGGCCATCGATCCTGAGCCACGGACTACCGGGCCTCCACCTTTGTACCCGTGCATCAGCGACTTTTACGAGCCTCAAAAGGCCAACGATCAAGATGCCAATACGGTTCTCCAAGAGCCTGATGGCAACTGTCAATTCTTCCAGATTCCTCCGCAAATTGGTCAGAACTCGAGACTTAATGCATGCTTTGTTACCCGCAATGAACCAGACACCTCAACAAATGAGAAGAAGGCTTATTGGCGTCCCACAACGGAGTGGGAAAACCCAATTTGGGGCTGGGTAGTCACCAACTATGCCGATGAAGGCATCCAATTCTTCCTTCCGGATGGAACATTCTACAGTGAGGTCAGGGTGGGTGGACATCTGGAGACAGTTAAAACACCCAAATGGATGCCATTTAAGCCTGATCCCTCTGCGGAAGTACACAACGATCCTAATCGCAAAAAGTTCGATGCGCTCATTGAAAAGCTCAGTGATATTGACTATCTGAGAGCATTTTGGTATATGGTCGTCAACGCACTGGACAGCTTGCCACCAACACCGAACTCCTACGCCCAGTATCTGACAGCGATTGTTGGAAAGCCACTCGCGCTCGTTAATATGGGATGGTCCCTTGAACTAGACCGTCCTCCACTACAGAACCAAGCGACCAACACCATGATGAAAGAACCGAGCCCGTCATTATCCAACCGTCCTGATAAGCAGTATTACGAGCTACAAGTCAAACTGGGCGACAAGGAGCGCGAGTACGATGGCATGGTGGGATATTTCAACTTGACCAAGACAGAAGATGCTTCTGAAGGCGAAGAGCTCAACCTGGATATCATTCAGACTTACTTTGCCACCCCCGATAACAAATTCCCGTCGTTGAAGGCTATTACATCCGAAACCCATCCAAAGTTCCGTCCATTCTGGGAATCGCCCTGGAAGACAGACCCTCCATCTGGCTCGGACTTCTGCAACCCAGCCGACTATGACAATCGCCGAAACAGTCACCTGAAGGTCTTTGGTGCCCTAGTGGACCCCTTCACGCCTATCCATGCGTATTCTTCCTTCTTACCCGCTCAATCCTTACAGCTGGCACCATGGACATGGCAGGAAGCCATGAGCAAAGTCACAGCCTTCTTCCATGCCGGGCCCATCACGCTAACTGCCGACGTGAAAGAGTATGACCCCACTCGAGCCCTGACACAGGAAAACATGAACGAGGATCCTCCTCACCAAGTAGGCCTGCCTGGATTAGGAGGGGGTAAGTGGTCTTGGCTGCAGCCGTATGTTGATCCAAGCGATGGGTTGTCTACGGAGAACCAAGATACCGATTCCGGAGACTCCGATGCAGGTGCCGATTTGCATTCGCAGTCATCATCAGACTCGGCCGGAATGACGCCACCGATCTTTAATTCCTATGGGATTGGGCAGACGGAGAAGCGTCTGGCGAAGCCGGGTTTTGAAAGCGGGCCATACACGGCTATTGAGGGGTTTTTGCATCTGCGCAGACCCATAATGATGGATCAACCGGAGCAGGAGGGAGAGCAAGGAGAGCCACAGGTAGAAGAGATAGGGATTCAAGAACCAAGTGAAGGTCATGAATGAGATACTTGGAATACTTATATATATGTACAGTGCAGCGCAAATTCACAAGGTTAAATGTCAACAAAATCATGGACTTAGTATCTGAGATGAAAAAAGAGCCAACCAAGCTAATAGCTATATAACTAACTGCCTTCACTAGCTTGGTCGGCATTGTGTCTCCAATGCTCTACCCTCAAGCGTGCCGACACCCAGAAGAGATGGTTGAGGTTGTCCGATCGAGCAACAGTTATCTGATGACCATCGGGAATATTAAGGTTGTTAGGCAGTCTAGAGGGTTGCTTCCAGTTACCTTGATCCTTCACAACGAAATACACGTCACCTTCCTTATCGGAATAGTATACATATGTCTTGTTAAACTGAGAGTCATACGCCACCGCCAGCGGAGTTCTCGCTCCACTGTTCTTCGTGTTGTCTATGACCAAATCTATTGTTCATTAGAATTGCAATTCGGTAATAGATAGAATGATAGGGTCAAGCATACTGTTTGTTATCTTTGACGAGTATTCACGAAGAGCGCCTTCTATATCCTGGTAAACCACTAGACGGTCGTCTTTCGTGTAGTAGCTGGCTAGACCCGACCCCTTGACTATGTTTCCAACGCGCCGAATGGTATCCACCTTCTTGGTGTCGAAATCGTATTCCCGTAACTGGCCAACCGTCGTGTTATTTGGATCATTGCTATCGATTCCTTGTCAGCTGGACAGTCTAGTCCACGTATATGATGTTAGCTTACCCAAGGAAAAAGACAGACGATTTAGTGCCGTTGGAACAAGAAGTGATTCGCGTGTTATTATCTTCAACTCTGGCAATAGTTTGATTGATCGGACTCAAGATGGCGATGTTGTTGTCAGTGGTTGGAGCACCTGCGCCTCCTGCATTGCCCGGGGCAGCAGAGTTTCCTGTAATTCCCACGACGAACTGGATGCCCGAGTAGGTAGAAACGGCGATGTCGGATGTGCCCAGAACGTTGCCCGTTGGTTCTCCATCGGTTGGTTTGAAATGCTTTGTAAAGTTTTCTCCCTGGTGAATTGTCTTTCTGATGTCTAGGCCGAGGCTGGACTTGGTCGTCGTGAAGAAGACTTGGATGTCATCATGGGAAGGGGTTTTGACGGCAGCGACACCGGACATATTGAGTATAGATTTATGAAAGGGACTTAGGTCAATTCACTAAGTGTTTATAGTTTTTTAGGTGCAGAGGTAGAAGGCATGGATCGAGGGACGAGATTATATGTGTAGGTGGAGTCCATATCCGGTCAGTGGGACTCATTCTTAAGGTCTGCCTCTGTCAATTGAGAATTAGTGATACTGCTGAAACCCATCAGCATCTTTCAGCCGGTCGAAGCGGGGTGTCACCTCATCTTTTCGGGATTGACAATTGTTCAGCCCAGCCACGTAAGTCATGTTCCCCACCAGATCTGCAAACTAATGCAATCCTCACCACAGCCCCCAACTGAGGGGTATCTATGTCGATCCCACCGTAATATGTGATTTAAAAAATACAAAACCAATGACCTACAGCAACTGCACTTCAATCATCAGTATCATTCAACGAAAATGGTCATGTATACCGGGGGAGAAAGCACTGCGATAAACTCGCCTCGTCATCTTCCCCTTCGCCATGCGATCCGAAAGAAGGAGCAACATTCATCGACAAAGGAATCGCTCAATACGCATGGTTCGAAGAGCACGCACCTAAATCCTGGAGAAGAAGAGCTTCATTCCTTTTGGGCACCGAGTCTTCCTGCTGGTCCACCTTACCAAGTCCAAGTCGACCAGACAGTAAAATCACCAGAGGAACAACAGCCCCTTCAACTCAAGGGTAACAAGGAGTTTGTCGTCGAGGCCCCTCGTTTCACCTTACCGACCGGATCGATTTATTCTGTCTATCCACCATCAGGATACAGTGAGGACCATCGCATTCTGCCTCATGTTGTTCTCAGCGATCCGTTCTTGCCATGGGAGCGACAAGGCAGTTCGAGACCTCCAGCCTCGCCAGTGACGCGCTGTCGCGTGCCATGGCTGGCTTTGATGGTGTTCACCCAGGATGAACTGCGGTTGTCTCCAGGTGAGGTGGTTAGTGATGGAGGGGACCTGTCGAGAAAGCAGTCCAAAAGCACACTTGCTACTCGATTGAGCCTGAACGAAGTCTGGTCGCTCAATGAGAAGGTAGCGCTTCCTTACCGAGAGGAGGACTTGATAGGCGAGAACACCACAGCGGACTTTATTTTCCTTCCCAAGAATCTCTTCTCAAACATATTCCCGGTCGGAACGGAATCGGACCGCCAAAGACATGACGTATCGTCTTACCAGTATCTTTCCCACGTGCGGAAGGTGAATACCGCCGGAATGGCAGTGGCGGGCCAGGAAGATACTGGAATATTCTCTATCATTGTTTCCCCTAGATGCGGACCGATTGAACCACTCCAGCCCACGACAGTCTCCGTTCATCTGGTCTCTATCGAAGGAATTGAAGAAAGTATTCCGTTTCCCATCCCAGACGAGAAGCAGCGTGTTGCCCTTTGCTCACTGCATAGTTGGAACTATTCGATACAACCACCTGGCACGCGGAATATTCAGGATTCCTTCCAGTATCTGGGCGAAAATCTGGGCGTCCTTGGACCTCCACCTCGAATTCTGAACAGTTTGCAGGCGTCAGACGATTTGACCAACCGGTTAGCCAAAAGACTCCAAGATGGATATTCATTGGTTCGATACCGAACCCAGACAGGGGAAACGACTGTTGCCTTTTTCCGAGGCCCCTTCACTCCAACTGTTGTGCCTCGAGAGACCCAGCACGACAACACCTTTGATGCGGACTTCGCCCACTGCTCCAACTCGGGCCAGGATTTGCAGATTCTTGACCCCGAGGTTGGAATCATGGATATCACCTACTCTGTCGCTTGGCAGGTAGGTCGCATGCTGGCCCTGGGCGATCAGGCGTTTACTATGGCCTTGATGCGTATCCGTAGCTCGATTTATAGTGAGACAATGAAGGAATGCAAAAGTTTGGCGCTCAAAGAAGACAAAAATACTCACGTTGTGACACGCAGCGAACTTCTCGGTGCTTTGCGCCACATACCAGGGCAATTGGATCAGATTACAACGGAAAAGGAAGATATCGATCGATCAAACCGATGGTTTCGACGACACTGGCGAGCGGGGGTTGCCTTGACTTATACCGCACGTGGCATTCGCAAGAGGTATCTAGACGTCGCAGTCAAGGTAGCCAAGAAACTGGCCAAATCCACCGATGGCCAGATTTATAACGAGACCAACAAGCCACTCTCGGTAGACTGGATGATCCTCTTGAGCTGGGTCATGGACCGACTCTTCCTGCACGGGGTGCCAGCGCACTACCTCATCACGGACCCTAGCCATCTTGAACCAGAACGATTGAAATTCTTCCATATTGATTCCAACTGGACTGATGCTATGGTTGATGGTGCTTTAAGCTTAGGCAACCACCGAGGCGAGGATCGTGACCGCGTGGCTATTAAATACGCCTTGAACGAATATATATCCACGGCTCAACCTCGGCTGTCCTATACCCCTCAAATCCCCACATATGGTTTTTATCTCCGGTCAGATGTGGTTTCTAGATTTCCAGATCTCAAGGTTACCACTCTACCTGAAACCACAGAGCGTGCTCCTCTTCTACGGCACGAAATTGTCTCTGATGGCGTCATGTTGGGTCTGTTTGACCGTGTCCCAGGTTCGCGCGACCTGTCGGAGCTGGTCTTCTCGCAACCACCCCACCAACAATGTTTTGTCGCTAGCTCGTCCCTATCCAGAGACGAGTTGACAGTCCGTATCAGACGACAGTACACGGTTGATTGGGACGAGCGCCAAAAGGATCCAGCAAAAGAAGCCTCGATTGATCCTAGTCTCATGCATCCGGACGACTCTAATCCCATATTTGCTTGGGGTACGAAGCAAGGCGCCAATGACCTACGCATTATTCGGGCGTCTCGATATGCAGATTTCCAGCTCAAGACTTTGCATAAGGAAATGGGCAAGTTCACAAGAGGTGGAGTTGAAACCAAATTTTTTAATGACGACACCGCGACATCTGCTTTGCTTGCCTTGCAGCTCAGTGATCCAATATATCAATTCCATATCTGTCTGGATAACGTATTTCCCAATAATGGTGATGCCTATGATACAGGACTACGGACCCTGCAGAGAACAGTTCCCCCTCAGGTCAGTCCTGCAAGCATGCCATCTATCACAGACCCGGAGCCAGAGCTTGAATCAAAACCCACCAAATATGCCAGGCGTCAACCGTCCCCGTCACCAGAGACTACGTCCACAGCAGTTCCTTCGACCGCTATTGCAGACCCAGAAACAACCCCGGCTGTCCTTGCATCTACCTCCCAGTCTTATAAAACATACCAAGTCCCTCGCCCAGTGAGTGCTGTCGTACCCGCCAGCCATCCCCAATACAAATGCAACATCACCAGCGTCAACTCCGACACGATCAATGTGACGAAAGAAAACCTGCCCCAGGACCTAATATTCTCAATCCAAGTCTCAAACAACTACATCCCAGATTACAAAATCCAAGCATTCGACATCTGGATCCCACTAGGAGAAGCCGACTCGCACAGCCCCAAACTTCTACAAACGTACCAGGGCCTACGGCCCACCATGCTGAGCAACCTGCGGTTCAATGTAATCCACAAGTTTCCCATGCTAGATGGCATACCACATTTGCAGCTCACTGCCATGCCACGCAGTATGAAGAGGGTTGTCCCTGCTAACATGGTTTCGGAGATGAGCTTCGTGCTGGGTCTGGCGCAGGTTAATCGGTTTTCTTTCCCCGAAACGCGGTTTCAGGTCAGGACGCAGGTGCGATATCGCTTGGATCGGATGCCTACTTTTGATGGACATATCGATGTGGTTGTTAAGAATATATAGATGCGGCCTTTCTAGGATTTCTAGTCTGAGTAATAGCAGCTGTATCCAACGCTGAGATAGTACATTATAATAACAAGTTACTAGTACTCCTTGGCGAGTCAAAGGACGCAATATAGCGACACCCCGGTAAATATTAATCTAACAATACCTGCTTACAGAATACTTTGTAACTAATTCTACTCCATAAATTAGCACATTTTTAACCAAAGGCTCCGCTATCGTTCAACTACACTATTTTTTGTCGACCATTTCATCGACCAACCATTAGCTAAATCAAGTATATGATAAAGCATCTATTAGACCCAACACACTTCTACCACGTCAAGCCATATCAAGATCTCACAATAATACTATTTTCAGAGCCGATTAGTCACCTTGCGGTGTTAATTTAACACTTCCCTAAAAATACCAATACTCCGTAATTAGTGTTTGACAAGTAATTTCAAATTTTCAATACATTATCATCTACCCCGCCAGCCCTGCTCCGCAGCCGAGCTGGGTCTCGGGTCTCCTTCCGAGCTATCCAATCATCGACCACAGAAACCGTTGGCGGGTCGGGTATGATCATGGATATGCGTCCCGAGCCGAGACAGGAAATGTCTAAATTAGACGTGCATCGGAACCCCCGAGATCATCTGTGATGAGGGTGCATGCCACCTGCGTACTGCCTAATATGTCAATTGTTAATCCCACCTAACTCGCTGCAGATGTAGCGAACTGGAGATGAGGAGATTTGCTGACGTGTTTCCTTCGCTTTTTTGGTTGCCTCGCTTATTCAAATGAGGCATTTTTGGATATACATGCTCCGTAGTAGGTCGGACTGAGGGATTTGAAAGTTTCAAGCTGTGTATTTGTAACTGTCCTATGGAGTTTTTGAAGGTGGAAGAGATCTGCATGGTATGGGAAACGCATGGAAGTCCCTCCATTTCTTGATGCCAAGTGCATGCAGTAGGACCTTACAGTTGTCGCATGGCGTTTCGACACAATTGGCAATCTTCTGAGGATCATACGCTTGAAGAACACGATCGGGGGGTGGAGGATGCTGGGGTGTTTCACCAAAAAAATGTTTCCTTGATAGAGCAAATCCTTTCAAACTGTTTGCAGGACGAACAAAACCCGGTCTAGAGAGTGAGTTAAAGCCAAAATAGAGTCGAAAGACAAAAGGGAGACTTACTGCAAGAGATTGAGAAATGGATATGTTTCTGCACAGTTTCCAAACCGAGTCCCGATTCTCTTCCACAGTTTTTGATCGACTGTTGCTCTGAATTTCCGGAAAGTATCCTGGATGTTTTTGCTTTTACCTAATGCTTCGAGGAGATAGCAGACTGCTTTATCCAAATCATTTTGCGGATTATACGGTCCGTAATTTTCCCTCAAAAAGGTCTGTACAGCGAGTGGGATCTGATTAAATCGGGTTCGCAAATCCTCTGGCATGGCATCGGTTGCCTCCCCGTGTGCTTGAACAAAGACGTCCATTTCCGACTTTGCTTCCCATAAGACCTGATTCAGACTTTTTCGCTTCTTTCCCGTTTTCTTGTCCTTATCCGGCACCGGTATACGATTGCGTGACGAGTCAAATGTCCACTTGAACCCATTCTCAGTAGACGTAAGTAGATCCCGCACTAGATTAAACCGCGCTAGTTTTAATTCGCTCTCCCATGTACCAGTGGATTCCTTTGCCCATTCATATCCAGCCAGTGAGGCCCCCAAGAAGAACTGCTTCTTGTCTCCTCGATGTGTCACCCATGTGCACTGAAACATGAATGGAGGGTCTCCGACACCTTTCAGTTTAATACCTGTACTTGTGTTACCGGCAATATTACTACACCATTTGCCGTAGACTGCTGTCAGAGGAAGAAAGAAGTTGTCTTCATTAGCAGCAACTGGAGCATAATCAAGCCGTGATAGAAATAAGCCCAAGAGGTCATAGGGACTCCAGTATTTGAGTGCTCGGGCTTTCGGGTCCGTGGCCTGCTCGAAACCACCTGCGCCCTGTTCATGATGGTCCACATGGAACTTGGAAATAGTCTTGCTCTTTTCTTTCCAGTCTGGATTTATTCGGCGACGAATGTGCTGAGCTGGAGGCAGGGTACTGTTGGTATAGTCGGTACCATCATGTTCGTCGCGTGGATGTTGCTCGTTGCCTAGTCTACCCAAACTGCCAATGTGCATGTGAGAGAGGCCCATTGGAACATTATTGAAAGGTATTCTTTACCTCAAGGCCAGAATACGGTTTCGAATCTCGTCAAGCTCTGTTTTGTTGGGCTCTTCACTGTAATGCACTTCAGTTTCTAGGAAGTCATAGATCTAGAAAGCCGCGACAAAGTTAGAGCTGTGAGAAGAAAGGATTTCTGAACGTCTTTTTACTTCCCTTGTCCCTATCGTACCTGTAAAGATCTTTCAGCTTACAGTCTCTAAACCTGAGAAAACCTTTATCCTCACGGCGACGACCCATCGCGTAGGTCTGTAGTATTGATTGGTAGTGCGTCGTTTTTGTGGTGGGATGAACACTCATATATGAAGAGAGGAATTCCCCGAGTATTGCAGGTATCGTAATTAATTTTCACAATTTGCCAGTTGAAAGTTTGCAATACTAGGTGATCTGCACGGTCACAAGGATTTACCCAGAAACACCCCTCAGGCGAACACATATCAATCAATCCCCTCCTCCTTCCTATTCATAATCGATCCTCAATTATAGTCGCAGCAAATCAGCAAAATCACAACCCATCGCAAATTCGACTTCGTCGACGTCATGACCAACGTACGCTCCCCACCTAGTCCTCCTGCATACCAAAACTAATCGAAACAAGTCGCAAATCACACCACCCGAAGGCTGGGCCAATGACGATTTTCTCCTCGAAAAAGGCACCTACTGGGGACCCGGACAGGGCGGCCAGGTCATGGTCCAAAAACATGGACTTCCGGTCGCAACGCCGATCATGTGTATGACCAGTGGAGAGCAAGAGGTTCTGTTCACCGCGGGGTCTAACTGCTACATTTGGAGTCCGATTGACGGAGAGATCTGGGAGGTTGTTGAACCACAGGGGTCTGTTGAGACGGTCATTGCGGCTATCAAAGAAAGTGGGAGTAGATCTCTGACTTGTTCGAAAGTTAGTCAGATTGAATAGGTCGGGGCTAGTTGAGTTTACGTATCGCTAAGTCTCTGATTGTTGGTTTTGGAATCAGTCGTTGTTAAATATTACCATGTCAACCTGATATGACATTATATGGCTAAGGTGTAATAGAGAAAATATGGACAGTAGTGGTCAGCTTGTACGCCGGAAGCATCCCCAGGAACGACCACCCGTCGCTAGCGATCCTCAATGGATATATTTCAGTGGCACCAAAAAGGCTAGCGCGATCCGAGTCCAGCCCGGCTCGAATCTCGACGACTTCCTCAAATTTCTCCCCAAGCAACGCTTCGGTATCCAAGATGCTTCCTCCTCTCTATCCCAATTCCATCATTCTGATTTGTGGCTGAAATGGCTGAAGGAGGTTGACCCCAGTGTGAAGGCCTTCGTCAACCTCTCCGGGACACAGGACCGACAGATTGACACTTTTCAATTCAGGTTCAATCTCCCGTGGCCGGGCGCGGCATCTGTTGGGTTCAGTTCATCGCACAGTGCACTGGAATATTCTTTCTCAAGACCAGACCAGCAGGATTCCATCGAAAGTATCCACAGCCGGATCCCCCGTCCAGGAATTGACACCGAAGGGAAGCTACTTTATTGCGGACTAGACGTCGCCCAGACCTCAGAAACCATCACCACAAATGTCAAGGAGCTTTTCGAGTTCGTCGGTCAGTACCGGCTATCTGACCATCTACATCCCTTGATCGCTGCCTTGTCGGTGACATTCAAAAAGTCCCGTTCTCAGGGGAAACAGAATGCTCTCTGGTTTAATCCATGGGTGGACAATCAGACGACTGTGCGATTGCAGTTTCAGCTTGACTTGGCATCTACCTTCAAAGAGCCCCTGGAGTCGACTTTAACGGGATTTACCCTGGACACTGCCGATGTGATTTGCAAGAAGGTTCTGGTTGCTGCACAGTTTGATGATGGACCGGGAGCAGTTGAACAGGGCGAGGTGGCGTTTTACGCTTCGTGCTTGGTAGCCCCGAAAGGTGTAACCCCGATCAAAATGGGTGCAGCCGTCGAATTTCGTCAGGGTTCAATCAGAATCACGCTTCAGCCACCGCCCCAAGGCAGCTTTCTCGAGACTATGCTAGCATGGCTGGGTCAATTGACCAACTCGGAGAACGTAGCTGCTGATAAGCTGCCTGGTCAAGATGACTTTTTTGAAAACGTTCACGTTCGCCGGATTATCATCGATCTTGATCTTTTGGACTCTCAGCAGCGACTACAATTTGCGATGACAGACTTTGATATCGATATCGAGGCGGCGGCCACATTCGGCAAGCAGGACGGTCCTCCCCCGGTGTTTCTTTTATCCTATGGATGGACGAAGGGGAGAGAAGCGTGGGGTCGTTTCCGAGGAAAGCTGTGGACAGGTGAGTGAAAGAAAATGCTGTGATAATTTGATGATTGTCAGCTCTTACAATCAATGGCAGAGATCGATCCCGATGATAACGATATTCTCAATCCGCATTATGAAGCGTGGAGAGGCTTGACGCCTGTCTCGACAGCAACTCTAGCCAAGTCAATCAATCTGAAGACTATTGTTCCCGGCCAAACACTTGAAAATATTCCAGATTTCATCCCAACCAACATTACCCGTGCCTCGCTATGCCTATCCCAAGGGACTCTGGCCATCGGCGCAACGATATCCACCCAGGAGCCGAAGGGTGACGTGCCACATCCGTACCTGGGTCAACTGGCCTTAGATGCGGTATATAAATGGGGTGACGAAAGGGGATTCAAAGTCAGGCTTGCGACGATGATTAGTCTACAACAGAGTGATCCATCCAATTCCCACGGCCCGACTACTCTCATAGCTGAGTTAGACTATGATTCTGAAAAAACGGCATGGCAACTGAGAGGATTCCTAGAGGGTCTCTACGCCAGTTCCCTATATGAATTCTTCGATAGTGACTCGGCCAATAACGCTATGCCTCTCATCCAATCAATGGCAATTGAAAATCTGGATGTGATCTACAATTATGCAGCCGGCCGATCATCCCGCCATTCCTTGTCCATAGAGGGAAACCTACTGATTGCAGGAATCAGCCTGGAGTTGATATACAATTATAGCACTGGTTTTGAGTTCTCCGCCAAAGCGGAATTTCCTTCATCTGATGCGAAGATTGGCACTGTCGTTGGGGATATTTTTGGTGAAACGTTGCCACTGCCAGACTTCCTTGCAGATATCACATTCGACCATCAATCATCCATTAAGATTAGGCTTGAAAGACAAAAGCTGGACAACAATGCAGATTCGACTACCAGTGACAACCAGACACCCCCCGTTCACTGCTTCCAATTGGTTGTTGAAATTAAAATTGGAGACCTTGAGGTGGTCTTCATACGATACCGCGATGGAAGTTGGGAAAGTGGGAGTGGCTCTAAACAGTTTCTGAGAGTTGGCCTAAAATCCTTACCACAGCTTCCTGAGATTCCTGCCTTTGGCGAGTTTCACCATCCTTTTGATGAGATTTGTTACGTCTGGGTTAATGACCCAGTCACCAAATTAACAGAGGCGCGGGGATTGACACGAAAGGAAGTCAAGTACCTGAATGAGTCATTGACAAATAAGTTGGTTGTACGGGATGATTTCAAAAAAGAAAAGGAGTCTGATTTACTCGTCGGCGCTGGATCTCATTTCATGGTTCTAATGAATGAGTCGATGGGAGATCGATCGTGTCTACTAGACTACAACTTTCTCAAGAAATCTACCAAGCGCAAAGATGAGATCGCGAACGTCCAGGAGGGAGACAATACCGTTGCTCGTTCCATACACGCCGACGAAGACAGTGAGAAGGAACCTCCGGGTAAGGCACCACTTAAGAAAAGCATCGGACCCTTTTCACTCCACGGCATCGGTTTCAAATACAGCGGACAGATTCTTGAAATTATGCTGGATGCAACGGTCGTCCTGGGCCCTGTCGAGGCATCACTTTCTGGATTTTCCGTCGCTTTGAACGTGAAACGGCTGGATGACATCTCACTCCGCTCTGTGGGCATTGATGGCATGGCGGTCGCTTTTAATGAGCCTCCTATTAACATCGCGGGTGCAATCGTCCACGGTAATAGCCCCGATATGGATTACTACGCTGGAGCTCTCATTGTGGGATTCGACGACTGGCTGTTCAAGGCAGCGGGATTCTACGGTGAGATTAAACCGGAAAATCGTGATCCATTCCACTCCATGTTTCTGTTTGCTCGACTTGACGGACCGCTACTACGTCTGTCGTTTGGTGAAATCTCCGGAATCGTTGCCGGATTCGGGTACAACTCAGACGTCCACACTCCAACCGTTGACGAGGTGCTCAAGTTTCCATTGCTTGCAGAAAGGGACCAAGAGGAGGGCGTGGAGGAAGAGAGCACCGTGGACAGACTCAATCGATGGATAGACCCAACTCCCGGTGGTTGGTTCCAGGTGAAGGAGAATGCCTATTGGGCCGCTGCTGGGCTGAAGATAAATGCCTTCCGGATGCTATCCGTTGACGCTGTGGTAGTGATCAATTTTGGAACATCTGTAAAACTGGGCATTTTCGGAGTGGCTACAGTCGATCTACCCTATGAGAAGGCCAAGAGTAAATTCGCCCATGTCGAGCTAGGCCTGGCGGCCGTGGTTGAATTCGACTACGGCACAATGAAGGTCGAAGGACAGCTAGCTCGGACCTCATTCATTCTGCACCCAGACTGCCATCCGACAGGTGGATTCGCTCTATACTCGTGGTTTGACGCACCGCACGCAGATAAGAACCAGGTGGGCAATTTTGTCTTCACCGTGGGCGGGTATCATCGAGCCTTCGACCCCCCAGTGGGCTATCCTCAACCCCCTCGCTTGAACATCAGCTGGAGCTACAGCAGTAGCATTAGCATCACAGGCAAGGCCTACTTTGCTATTACTCCCAAAGTATGCATGGGCGGTGGAGAGCTACACCTTTCGTTTGCTGCTGGTCCCATCAAAGCTTGGTTCGACGCTTCGACAGACTTCCTGATGAACTACCAACCATTCTACTTCACTGCCGAATGCCGCGTTAGTGTTGGAGTCAGTTATACCATCGACGCATGGATCGTGCAAAAGACCATTTCCTGCGAGGTTGGCGCCGGGCTTTCACTATGGGGTCCTCCGATGGCTGGTCGTGTTCATGTGGAGATTTGGATCACATCATTCGACATTAATTTTGGCGAAAGTCCATCAAAGCCTGAATCACTCGACCTTATTTCCTTCTATGGATTGGTGCTCGAGAGAGACGGAAGATCAGAAGCACTGGAAGGTTTAGATCGGCCTACCAATGAAGCTCATACTTTCCTCGCGCAGTCGGGATTACTGGGTGACGATGCCAGTGGGCGATGGAAAGTCCGGGCAGGGATATTCTCCATGCGTATGACATGTAAAATGCCCATCAGTCAAGCTACCCTAGGAGAGAAACGAGTCCAGCACGACAGTGAAATCCATGCTAAGCCGATGCAGCTCAAGGACAAGATAGCATCTCACATGAAAGTGTCTATCAAGCAAGGTGGCAATGAATCAGCAAACTGGACAATGAAAAGCAAAACCCAGCCGCTTCCAACGGCATTGTGGGGCAAATGTCTGTATCCCCTTCTTACCCCTATTGCACACACATGCTGATACTAGGACGTGTCTCTTAGATGACGAGAAGCTCGATCCCTCCTATAACAGAAACGCCGCTGATACACTCCTCAATTCCTCGGGTGGCACTATATCGCTCATGGTGGGTATCTCGTTAACAGTCCCACCCCCACAAAAATCAGAGGACAAACTAGGCGTGCTTCCAACTGCAAGCAAAGCCATCGATAGAATCAACGCCACACAGCCATTCCCACCGCTTCAAAAGGCCAATCCAGATTGGGCGCCGGATGATACTCGACAGGACGATCCGTGGGATGCGGTCCAGAGTCTCTGGGCACAACCTCGATCTGGGGACGACGGACGGAGTGGCTTTGTGGATCGATGGGCGGGAGCTTTTGGATGGGATAAGGGCTCGATGAAGGCTCTGTCTGGATTTCCGAAGCGGATGCAAAGTAATTTTAAGAATTTGTATGTGGCTGCTCCTGCTGTTGCAAAGTAATTTGAGCTGTTGGTTTTTAGCTCATATAGGAGTTTATTGTGATGGCTTGATTCTCTTGTCTTAGTCTGCTGTTTTACTGATGATAACCTTGAATAGATGGTTACTGAAGTTTAGTAGAACCATCCCGGTCCTCATGAAGAAATAGAATATCATCCAAGCTGCATTCGTAATTGTGTAGTGAAAAATAGATTTCATGGTATTTATATACCACGGCACCGCGTGGTCTGTATCATTGCGATATTCTATCTATATATTACGATCCAGCTTGATATAGTAGACAGCCATCGTAAGGATCCTCATAGCAAAGAAACTTTGTAAAATTCAAGGAGAAGAAGCATCAACCTCAACAAACAATGCCTAACTATTCCAACCTCCATGGTGGCAACTACCCACAGGCCGGTCTGTATCCCAAAACAATCTTTGGGTCAAATACCAGCCCACAAAGTAACCTAGCACCCACACGAATTGAACAAGCAAAAGGGATTGGCCAGGGAGTTTGTGTATATGGGCGATGCGGGCTAGTGGCAGGGCCGTATGCTGGGTTTAAGTCTGAGAATGCTCAGCGCATAAGGGAGATTAGAAAGGAGTATGATCCGAGTGGAACGTTTTCGAGGATGAATTGGGGTGGGTTTAAACTTGGGTATTGAGGATTGGAGATGGGTTGGAGGGTGGATTGGAGGGAAGGGGTTGTTTGCCTGACCAAGTTGCCCAAAGCAATACTCATAACTGCAGCATCAGTATCGTGAGCCGTGGAAGAAACAACGAGATTTCTCTGAGCAAGATGGGATTCATTTTCAAACTGATAAATGTGTCAGTTGATGCGATATTCAGTGCTCCGGCTGTATATAGATAAAGGTAGATAACGACTGGAGGGAAGAATTTTAGATTCTCTTTGGGTAAACCAGACGATAAAAATAGGAAGAAAGACCTTTAAAGATAATAATACCCAATAATTCCAGTTTCTGTCTATTCAATGTAAGAGTATCGTCCTTTTCTGGAACAACTCTGTGATGAATACATTAGCCTAATATCAAACCCTCCAGAAACCATCCAACGTTCCGGGTGCGATGTTGCTATTCTACTCGAGAATCAACCAAACCCCTGCCTCTCGACAGGCTTCTCCAAGAACTATAAATGCGTCGTCGAAATCCTCAGATTCGTCGTCGAGGTTGAGAGTGATTTTTTCAAGTTCGGGCACAGCCGACTCCCGGTTGCTGATCAGGTGCAAAAGCTCCTCTTCCAGGCTGGGGAAGTCAGCCTCATCAATATCAAAGACCTCAAGGGTCTTGAGTGATTTTGGAAGTAGGTCGTCAAGGTACTGTGGAGGTGTATCGTCATCATCAACGAAACCGGGTGGGTCCACGAGGTTTCGATGGCGCATGGAGAGATGCTGAAGCACATCGAATTCTTTGAACGAGCCGAAAGCCGTGTCTTCCAGGATGGACATATCATCATTCAAGGGCCAGGGTATACGTTGAGTGCACGTCCCATGATATGTCTCATCAAAGCACAGGTAAATCGATAAAAGAGTATCTTTTGCTTGGAGGAGAGCGGTCCGAAAAACTCGGTGATCAAACACGTAGCTTTGATCTTTGTTCAAGAAGTTGAAATGAACTTCGAAGTGCTCCAGTTGGGTACATGTAGCAATCCATTCGACCAGACCATTGAATATGATCCCATTGTATACCTTAATCCGGGTAACTGCACACGGTGGTCTGTTCATTGTAGAGACGTCCAGGGGTAGCTGGCCTCCAAGTGGATTATCGGCGTCCAATAAGAAATCTACCTCGATTTCGCGAACTGCCGGAAGACAAAAGAATGGGCTCATGAAGTCTGACCAGATCACAACGCCAGGCTCATTATTGTGGACACAAACCTCTCGCAGGAATCGGTATGGAGGGGGTTCGCCAAATGGTCTCCGACCCTCAGCTGCTCTGGTGAAAATGACTTGGAAGAAATCTCCACCCTCAACATACAGCTCCAAGCGGTTGATGTAGGTCAAACGAGGGAGTAACAAGGCTATCCATGCCTGTGCGCAGAATGCTCGAAGGTGTATCTTCCACGTATTCAGATCCTGCGCCCCTTGGCCCGAAGCTTCGTCAATCAGATTCTGGCCTAGTGCTGAGTGCGCCCAAGCATTCCACGCTCCATCGAAAAGATCCTCGGTCAAGTATTCGGTCCCGTATTGATTGCAGTGGTTGTTCCGATCATATATCAAAACACGAACTCGGTTCGCCAGATCCGGGTGTCTGTAGAGTTTCGCGATTAAACGTATATGGGGTTCCGAGAAAGACCTGGATGCTAGTATTTATTAGACACTGCTAGATTTACTATATGTGTTGTAACCCAGTTATTCCAAGTCTGATATCCAACTCCAATCACTTGGCCTAGCAGCAAGCAAATGAGCAGGATGTGAGCACTGGAGTTCAGACGTGTATTTCAAGAGGGCTTAGTGCAACTTTTGCTGTCTAGGATATGTGGAATTTACAGGAAACACCACACCCGCTTAGACATAATGATGGGAGGATTGGAAGTAGCTTACCGTGACTGAATTATATTGCACAAATTCAAGACTGTGTTGTGTGCATGCGTTTGACAAACACAAAACTGTCGAGACACCCCAAGGAATATGTCCCTCCTTAAATACTGGAAATTGTGATCAGGGATAATAGCCCCATCCTGCTAGCACAGATTTCTGTATAATAGATGCCCCAAATTCCAATTTCCACATCCCTGTTAGGCCAGGATCTATACCATGCGTTTGGCACGTATTGCCGGACATAATGATGCCAATAGAGCGAGAAAATGTAAAAGGGATTGAGATAGGAGAGAGTAGGAGAGAGTAGGAGAGAGTAGGAGAGAGTAGGAGAGAGTAGGAGAGAGTAGGAGAGAGTAGGAGAGAGTAGGAGAGAGTAGGA